CCCATCATTGAACAGAGACTTCCGAGAGCTGGTGAGAGAAAGGCCCCACCACCCGAGGAGCATGGAAGCCCTCTGTGGTTGTAAAATTCAGCTGATGAACAGCAGCATTCATCCAGGGGGTAATTTGCTAGAAAAACAAGGCTTTTGGCATCTAAACCTCCAGTGCATCACAAACTTCCTGCTATTATCTAATAACCCCCCCTCCACACACACAGCCATCACTGTTTCCATGGTAACCGACAGAGAAATAGCAGCCTGCCAAATGGCTTTTGTAGTTCCTCTTCCAGCTTGTTCTTCAGTATAGAATTAATGCTGGGAAAAGAACCAGGATAATCATTGCAAACAGGGACATGAGGCAGTCTGAAAAGTACAAGTGGATTTGGGACAAGGAGTATGGAGAAGATTTGAAGAATCCAGTCTGATGGAATAAAAAAGGTCTACTGAAGCATAAATGGCAAACTTTACTTTGAACTTGAGTCAGTACAGCCTGACATTGGCTAGAACACAAGTAGGACACTCTTCACCCAGTCTTTTCCAGAGAAAGGCCTAAGTGACAGCAGGACTGAACAAGTCTACTGTGCCCACCACATTTCACGCTCAGTAAAAGAAATGATGATGTGCTGTCAAGCAGTGGGCTGACAGAACTGGACGACAGGAGAGTGAAGAGAGGATGAATGAAATGTTCCATCCCTGAGATGATGCACCTGAGCCGCCCGCATGAATCAGAGAGGCCCTGGCACTCAGGAAACATCTCAGCATCAAGCACAGTGAGGGACCATCGCCAATGCAGCAGGTGGCAGATGTGCAGCCACGGGGATCTGTTGAAGGTGCCAGATTGTTGACCAAACAACTCTGCAAGGCTGGAGAAGTTCAAATTTATAGAAGAACCAAGACTACCACTTCTTGAACAAAACCCAAAACAGTCGCCTTTCTGTCTCCTAACTGGGTATCTGAATGAAGCACTAGGAATCTCACGATTCCAGGGACAATTGGGACTCCAGTAAAGGAGGTATTAACTGCTCAGGTGAGAGGTCAACGTTCACAAGGATTCCCTCTCCCAGCCTGTAGTGTACTCAAAGGGCTTGCTGTCACACAGGAGAACAATGACATACAGTGACAGCCTGAGACAGGCCCGAGAGTGACGGTGATCAGAGTTCTACAAATCCCACACAGAAGGTATCTTCTACTTATTAACCCACATTTTTAACACAGTCATGTGTCAGAGCTATCACCTGACATGAGAAAAGCAGACAAAAGTTTGCAATCATTATTTCCTTCTGGTTCTTAGGAAGAGGTTCGTTTATAATAATGTAAACACGTGTACCCTGAGAAACACTTCCAGAGGAGTCAAGATGGAGAATGCCTCTGCACTTACAGCTTAGCTCCATCTGGCATGCACTAGATTTGTTTTTTCTTTTTATTAGTTTTTTTTTTTTTAGGAAACCTGAAAAAATCTTTCCAAAGGTTTAATCTTGTATTGTGTTCACTTAACAATGGAAATTATAGGCTCAGTTGCAGCAAGGGGTGGGGAGAGGGAGGGGTTGGCATCATTTTTTAAGCTATATATATTTGTAAATGTGATTACAATTGCATATATTAACATTCAACTTCCTCATCTTAAACAAAAGCTGAGAAATACACAAAAACTACATTAAATTCGATCATAGTTAAAACTGCACCAGACACCAAAACTTAAACAAGTCCCTAACCTGAGGTACTGACGTGTTTACATTCCTTCCAAAATCCATTTCCTTAGCCAACTTCGTTTCACGAAGTCAGGCAAGTGGTCTCAATGAGTAGATCTGCATTTTCCCCCAACGGGCTGTCGGTGTTCTGGTAAAGACAATGACAGGGCTCAGGGATTCTGAGTGTCTGATGGGCTGTCCCTTGGGCCCATCAAAAAGGACTCTAAGAGCCCTGAGAAGAGGGAGCATCCGCAGGAGAATCCTCCCTCTTAAACACAGACTTTGCTCTGACTGGTCACCCCCGGAAGTGACCTTGGACATTGGACGTGGTGGCACTTGAGGGTCTCTGTTCACACATTAGTGCTCTATCACATAACATCAATAGATGAGCACACGAAATGATTTTTACACCACCATCAGATTTCTTAAGTACCGTTTTAGCAGGAAGTGGGCCTTTATCACCACCTATTATGTGATGCTTTCGCGAGAGAGTCAACAGCCTCGGGTGCCCAGAGAGGCGGGGAGGAGGCAGGACCTGGCTGCCAGAGCTGGAAAATCACCTAGAAGGTGCACTCAGGATTCTTCAGCTCCAAATGTATAAAGAAGCCAAAAGAAAATGTAAAAGGAGGTGGTGGTTTCTGAACACTGTACAATCTAGAAAGTAACTATAAAGTAGAGACAAAAGTTTTGAAGATTTTTATGAAAGCATTTCTAAAAGTTCACAGAAACATACATACATTTTAATGTGTAAGTTTACTTTGGCGCAAAAGAAAAAGAGCCTTTTGACATAAAAATGCTTTTATGATAAATGGAAAATGCATATTATGAGGAAAAAAACTGCACGGATTTCAAAATTTTTAGCACCAAAATAAACTCGTAGTTTAGTTTCTCTTTCTATGAACTTTGAGAAGTAGGCTCATATAGAGCATGGCTTATTTGCCAAGCAGAAGGATGGCAGATATCTCCAGCAGGGAGGCATGGCACCAGCACGCACCACAGGAGCTTCATGAATAGAAAGATGATGCCATCTCATCCACTTACTGTCACAGCCCCCCTGTACCCAGGGCCATGCTGGGCAGAAAGCTCAAGTTCCATGTGTCTGGATTAAGAAGGAGGTCTGAACTTCAATAATGAAACACACAGTATTTTTTTCACTCATGCAAAAAGTTTTACAAAGATAAGACAAGCTCTTCATGTTTGTGAACTTGGGGGATTTCACTGGGCAGAAGCCTATGTGCAGAAGCTCAGCCATACTTCGCTGGCAGTACAGTTTGGTCTGGGACAAGCTGCCTGCCAAGGCTTCCTGCCCTCTGCAAAGGCTGGTTAAGGGCTAAGGGTACACATTCGTTCAATAAGACACTGGCAACTGACAGTCTTCTGCTAACAATAACCACCACTTCTGTCTTACCCAAAGCAAAACAAACTAACGAATGGAAATGACAGCAACAAAAAGTACCTAATGGCATATGGCAAGACACCCCGATATACTGCAAAATACCATGGATGGAAAGTCAAGTACACATCAGGAGAATTGCCTGTCCATTAACTGAACTCTTACAGTAACATATCTGATGAAGACAAGATATGAGCGCCAGCTGACTATGGATGATGTGGCCTAAGATTAGGTCACATTCACAAAAACCCCACTGGCCTCCCACACTGACTGCTCTGCCTTAAAGACGCAAGGCAAATGATCAGGGACTTTGACTTCAAATGCAAAGTTCAAGCCCTGAAGATAAAATGATCTGAGGTCAGCTCGTTTCTTCATTTTTCATACTGTCTTTCATACTTGTAAAGCCACACACTTTTAAACATTCATTTTTTGTTTGTTTCTTTCTTTCTTTGAAAGGGAGAAAGAGAAACAGAGGAAGAGAGATCTTCCATCTACTGGCTCACTCCCCAAACACCCACAACTATCAGCACAGCCAGGCTGAAAGCTGGAGTAGGAAACTCAGGCTGGCACTCCCACGTGGAAGGCAGGACCCTAAGAACTTGGGTCGTTGTTTCTTGCCTCCCAGAGTGCACATCAGTAGGAAGCTGAATCAGAAGCAGAGGCAGGACACAAACGCAGCACTTTAAAGTGGGACACAGAAGTTCCAAGTGGCAGCTTAACTTGCTGTACCACAATGTCCACCCCAACACTGCAGACCTGAAAAAAGTAATAGCCTTTGTATCCTTCAAATGTCAAGTAACCTGAACTTGGACATGCCATCATTGCTGCTGATAATCTGGCTTCAGTTTTCTCTTCATTAGATTCCTTCTCATTTCAGGAAAAGGTAAGAAGGAACGAAGATGTTGAGATGTTCCCCCACAGAAAGGCAGTCACACTGCCCCTTGGAAAACACCTGTTTAACACTTGCTCGTGGGTGTCTGCCTGGGGTCTCTTTCCTTTCCTTCCTGTCCTGTCCCTTGCTTGACTCATCTTTCCACAAATGCCCCTTCACATCACTTACCACAACAGCGAGTTTTCTTTTTTAAGATTTAATTATTTTTATTGGAAAGGTAGGGTTACAGTGAGGAACAACAGAAAGAAAGATCTTCCATCTGCTGGTCCATTCCTCAAGTGGCCACAACGGCCAAAGCTAAGCTGATCCGAGGCCACAAGCCAGGAGCTCCTTCTGGGTCTCCCATGTGGCTGCAGGGTCCCAAGGTTTTGGGCCATTCTTGATTGCTTTTCTAGACCTTAAACAGGGAGCTGGATGGGAAGTGTGGCTGCTGGGACATGAACCGGTGCCCATGTGGGATGCCAGCCAATGCAAGGCAAAGATTTAGCCACTAGGCTATCACGCCAGACCCAACAGCAATTGTCTAAGTAATCAGTAATGCTTCTCAATACCATTACACTACACCTGTATCAGGACAGAGACCATAGCTGCCCTTCCCAGCAACACACACCTAGCATCTGGCACAGGGCAGGTGGATACAGGAATCAATGAATCAACGAATAGATACGCACACTTGAAGTCAAAAGTTAACTATGGTTTGAATCCTGGATACTCTACTTCTAATTCAGTGCCCTGTTTGTCGTTGGGAGGTCAACAGAGGATGACCAAGTCATGCTTGGACCCCTGCACCCACATGGGATGCCTGGAGTAGGCTCCTGCCTGCTGGCTTTGGATTGGCACAACTTCAGCCACTGTGGCCACTCTCTGTAACTCTGCCTTTTGAATAAAAATAAATAAATCTTCTAAAAAATGCTTCATCAATAAAATACATGCTCCTATCTTGTAGATCTGAACATAGGAGCTTCTGGAAACCACTTTTTGTTTGCAGAGTAAGGAAGCAAGAAGAGCACAAATCAAAGAAAATACTCACTGGGGAGGGCTTCTTCCTCATCTCAAAAGTACGTGTGGCACCAAAGCTGAGGGAGGCGATGACAGGGCACCGTCCCAGCGAGGGCTCATCATCGCTGTGCCAGTCCACGCTGTCCTTCTCATTCCGGTACAGATTGCAGAGCAGCGAGTTAAAGGTGTACCCCGTGTTCACTTCGATGCGCTTCTTCAGGGTGCTCAGCACGGGATGCCACTGCAACCAACAGGCCAGAAGAGGGCAGACACTCACATAAGTTATACAGTGGCAGTCCCATGGGTAAAGGAAGGGATAAACTCAGCCAACCAATAAACAGGAGCAAGGAATGAGTAAACCACTTGGAATGTGACTTTAAAAAAAAAAAAGCAAGAATAGTTTTAATTCCTGCCCACTGCGTGTATTTTAAAGCAAGCTAACTGCTATCAATTGTTGAAAAATTTGGTATAACAATGTCCATCTACCAATCACACCTATTTAATTTGAAACACACACATACACACGCGTCATTACATTTAGGGTGGGCGCCATAAAATCTCACGAAGCAGGTAAATGGTACATTACAGTAGATATATAAATAGGTACTTAGCAAAGCCAGATGGAAGTCTTTAGAGTGAAACCATTTTCCTGCAGGGTAGCCTTCTGTTTGTTTCACTGTTTGTTCCACTTTTTAAAAATGATGATGAAAACTTAGGGCCTCCCTAGGCAAGGGTTACACTGCTGGAAGAAAAGCAGCCAAGGCTGTTGGGCATTCTGGTCCTGGTTAATGCCAAATCTGTGTTAATTATACCAGTGTACCAGCATAGTTACCTATTCTCTCTTTTTTTTTAAAGACATGTGGGGAAGGTGGGGAACACCCAGCCAGGACATGTCACACTGGTCCCCAGGCAAGGGTGCTACAGGTTGCTGGAAAAAGGGGTCTAAGGTTATACTGGAGTGAGAGTAGCTGAAGGCATACTTGACAGGGGAGGAATGACGTTTCCACGCACCAGGCCACTGTACTGGCAGGTAGGCATGGGAGCTGAGACAGAGTGGTTAAGAGCGGAGGAACTGGAGGGCATGTCTGTGTCAGGCCAGGGCACACATCCACATGGGAGACCTGGGCTTGGATAAATAGCATCACCCACCACCCACTGGCATATGCAAAAGCTGGGGCTGAGGGGCATGCCTGGCTGGGCTAGGCCACAGTACCCACTTGGAGGTGAATCAGGCTAGGCAAGGCAGGAGCACCTATGGATGTGCACAAGGGCCAGATGGGATGTCAGGACTGGGCTAGCTTGCAGCATATGCTGGTACATGCAAAAACCGGAGCTGGAGGGAGGCCTCATGGAGGTTACTGGGGATTGCCCTGAGTAGACTGTGGCGTCTGCTGTGTGTGTGAAGACCAGGTGTGTGGCAGGATAGGCTAGGCTAAGCCACAGCACCCATCAGTTCAAGTGAGAGATGGAGCTAGAGGCATAACTGACCAGGCAGCTCCATCCACCAGCATGTGCACTGGCTGGTGCAAGTGCAAGATAGAACCTAACCCTTACTGAGTGGTGCATGTAAGAGTCAAGTGTGCAGCTACCCCAGGTGAGGCTTCCTGGGGATCTCCCCCAACTAGGCCTGTGGACTCAAACATCAGCCACAGGGTTGGCGTGTGTATGTTAAAGGTAGGAGCCAGGAGCTGCAGGCCGGTCTCCCAAATGGTGGTAGGGATCCAAGCTGTTGAGCCATCTTTTACTGCTTTTCCAGATGTATTAGCAGGGAACTGAATTGAAGCAGAGCAAAACATGACACAAACTGATGCCTGCGTGGGATGCTGACACTGTAGGTGGCAGCTTAACTTGATATGCCACAATGCGAACCCTTCAGCTGATACTCTAAAATAATCCTTCACCTTGTATGATTTTGTAACCTCACCTATTAGTTATTTGGAAACTAACAGTCCATGGTGTTAAACAGGAGTTCCAAATACTGCCATGTTACAATGACCACCTCCGCCCACCAAAAGAAAAAAAAAAAAAACCACATCCATTTTCATTATCATGATCTAATCCGGAAAGGGTAAGTCATCAAGCTCAAAATGCCAGATAACAGTTCTCAAGAATTCTAGTCTGCTTGAAAAGTCAACTTTCATTTTGTTTAGTAATGAATCTTGTCCACTATTTTCCTTGAGAAAACACACACTTCATTCAGTTTATGAGAAAATATCTGCTAAACACTTGAGTCTGAATAACAAGTGTGTTCATCAGTTCTAAGAATGGTCCATGAAAAAAAAAATCGCCCGTTCAGCTCACAGTTTAAACAACCACAGCAAAGCAGCAGGTTACTTCACGTACTCACAATTGTTTTTTAAAGATTTATTTTATTTTTACTGGAAAGTCAGATATACAGAGAGGAGAAGAGACAGAGAGGAAGACCTTCTGTCCACTGATTCACTCCTCAAGTGGCCACAACGGCTGGAGCTGAGGCAATCCAAAGCCAGGAGCCTCTTCCAGGTCTCCCACATGGGTGCAGAGTTGTCCTTGACTGCTTTCCCAGGCCACAGGCAGGGAGCTGGATGGGAAGCAGGGCTGCCGGGGATTTGAACCAGTACTCATATGGGATCCTCGCATGTGCAAGGTGAGGACTTTAGCCGCTAGGCTACCACACCAGGACATACTCAGAATTTAACTTTTAAGGAGGCTAAGTACTCAGAGACCAGGATTTAGTAACACTAATGAAGTTTCCTGCTTTATCAAGGGGGTATTCTTTTATTAATTTTTAACTTATTTTTATTATCATCATTTTATGATACAATTCCATAGACCCTGGGATTTCCCTTATCCCCTCCCCAATTTCCTCCCCCCTCACTGAGTTCCCCTATATCATTACCATAGTACAGTTCCCCATACACAGTCATATGTCCATCATTGCGGGCATGGACAATGGCAGAGTCCAGCATCCTACTGTCAAGATACAGTAAATAGTTTCATTGGGAGTCCATCTTTGTATGGAAGTAGAGATGCATACTGCATTGCATCCTCACATCTGGATATGATAGTCTCCATCACACAGCTACTGCACATCCTATCAAGGGGGCATTCTTAAAATCAGTACAGAAGTGAAGACACTGCTTTTAAAGCCTGTATCCTGTAATGGCGTGTTCCCGTCCTGGCCTCCACTCCTGATTCCAGCTCCTGATTTACGCACACTCTGGGGGATCCTTGGCACTTTCATGGGAAACCCAAGCTGAGCTACAGCAGTTCTGGACATCTGGCAAATGTACTACTGCATGAGGGTTAGCTCTGAAAAGTTTTCAGAAAAAAATTTTGTATTTTAAGATGTTAAAGCAGATGTGCCTGATGGCAAAGAATACAATAGCTGCTGGTACCTTTTGGGAGCAATACCTTCATTCATATTAAGAAACCAGCAATTCAACCCATTTGTGTTTTTGCTTCATCAGTGCAAATTCAACACAGTGAACAGGTTGTAGCCTTGGGACTATTATGAAAACGCAGACTCTCAAAAAAGTGTTTCAGGGGCTGGCACCATGGTGTTATAGTATGCTAAGCCTCCACTGTAGCACCAGCATTCACACGGGTTCAGGTTCATGTCCTGGCTGCTCCACTTTTGATCCAGCTCCCCTTTTAAGGCTGTGAAGGATGTTTCAAGCTTTTGAGTCCCTGTATCCACATGCAAGAACTGGAAGAAGCTCCTGGCTCCTGGTTTTGATTGGCTCAGCTTTGGCCACTGTTGCATTTTGGGAGTGGACCAGCAGATGGAAGGTCTTGGTCTCTTCCTTTCCCTCCCTTTCTCTCTCCTTATCTCTATAACTTTGTCTTTCAAATTGAAAAAAAATTAATATTGAAAACGAAGCATTTCACAAACTCTCCTAAAAGGGTCCACAAATTACACCTTAAGAACTTCTGTTTTATGGAACTCTTTGAATGTCTGTGTTATATGTGTGGTGGTGAAGGGATGGAAGTTCAGCAAAGGAAAGCGTATCAGTGAGACTACCCCATGGCTGTCGTCAGAGAAAACAGAGAAGGAGATGTGAGAATTCCTTGGCTTTGATGTAAAAAGCACGGTTACGGTTGACATTTTTTGCTGCAGCTGTTAACATTAAGCAAAATTTTTTTAAAAGCAGCAACAATAAATATAACATAGATCAGCAAAATGTTATGAAGCAACCCATGCTCAAGAGAATAAACTCCAAAGTGAAATTAAAATAATACCAGCAAGCTACACTTCCTATTTATTTTACAGCTTTAAATTTACCCCGAGGAGATAAAGAGCAGGACTACCTCTAGCATTACGCACTTGAAATAAGAAGAACAAGAATGTAGAAGAGCAAGGTGGCTTTCCTACAACGTGACTGGGAATGCCATTAGCACCTGCCGACTTGCTAAGGGACCAAGCACTGGGACACCTCTGAGTTTGCATTATGTTTCTGAGTGGCTGTATATTTTTCTTGGTTATTTTTGGTAGTAAAGTACATAGAAAAGGAGGAGATGGGGGATAATGAACTGGAGGATTAATTTAGACTCTCCAACCGACACTATATCCAGAGCCTTCAGAGCTGAATGTCTATATTAAAATTCAGCGTCATCTCACTGAGTAGTGAAGACATGGTATCCTTAAAAGACACTCAGGAGAAGAGTATGAGAAAATTGAATCACGGAGTATGAGAAAACTGGAATTCACAGAAATGCAAGAACCTATTCAAGGGAGTTTCAAATTTCTGTGGCATCCTGGGTACCACAGAGATGCCTCTGAGGGCCACAGCAGGAGCAAGGTGAGGTCAAGGCTGTGGACCTGGGTTTGTAATGGAAGCTTCATCTGCACAAAGATGGAGAGAAGCTGAACAGTTTGAACCTGCTCCGTCATGCTTTACGGTTACGGTGGCAACAACTCTGAAGTTACACAAGCACCCTAACATACACCACTCCTGAGTGAGCCCTCTTTTACAGAAAGTCCGTGAAAGGGGTTATTGTTGATTTTGTTCTATTATTCTATACTATTTAATAGCTGTATGGTATTCCAAACTCCAAGTGTGTCATAATGTATGAGAAAAAAGTCATGTACTCCCTTGGTGCTTTGTCCCTGAACATTTTGATAAAATGGTGGCTTGTGTTGAAAAAGTACTAGAAGTTCTAAAACCTGTCATAGTTCTGTGCAACCCAATATCATAAACAAAACTCCATTTTCTTCAAAGTCTCTTTCAATGAAACACAAAATCAGTTGCCAATAGTGAGTGTCCAGCAATTCAATAGGGAACTATTTCTTGGCCCTTGGCTCCTCTCTCCTCTAGACAGGTCTAAATAACAGACCAGAATATCTCTGTCTCCTGCAACACAAAAGAGGTAGCAGAGATGGCCAAGGCCATAAGAAGCTGATAGTCTGAGAAAGCAGCCATTGCAAGAACTACCAATCAACAAGAACACCAGACTGTTAGGCAAGCAAAGGAGCCTGAGAAATGGACTAAGCTGTTCTGACCTTGCTGCTCCATCACCAGGGTGTACACAGAAGAGTTGCCATCAAGAAAGCTTGGGGAAAGGACATATCAGAAGTAGTTCATTTTCTTGAAATTACAAACTCTGACTCATTTTTTCCTTCTTCTCCAAGTTCATTCACGGGTCAAAAGCACACAAAAGGGTGTCTGAGCCCCAAGGGTTTTTAAACCAGGAACCCCCAGGCTGCCCTGCAAGGTCATTCATGGGTATCTTATAATACTTAACAGTACACAGGCAATAAAACTATACCAATGACAAGACATGCACATACGTGAGGGTTTGGTTCCATAGTGATTCTTGAATAAGTGTAAGGAAGTTCTCCGTACCATGCTGTAAGTCTTGGTTGTGGATAAGTTATATCTAAGGAAGAAAATACAGGGCTTTTGAGATGGCCGAGTAGTGCTCCAGGTGTACCTAATTAGTGCAGACTGCGGGTCTTGACACGTGCAAGAACCTACGGGCCACACAAAGGAGGGGGTGATGGGCTATGACCCTGGATCTCACGTTCAGAGAGGATCTGGGTGGCAAGGGAGTACCATGAGTCAGAAGGCAAGGCAGGAGAAGGCCCATGGCTGTAAGACCCCAAACCAAAGCGGAGAGCCAAATGAGTCAGAAGGAAAAGCAGGAGAAGGCCCATGGCTGTAAGACCCCACACCAAAGCACAGAGCCAAGGGTGTGCGTGATTCGCTTTATTCAGTGATGACACAATATAAGTGAGTCACATGCAGGAACGGCCAGGCTCCGAATAGGAAAGGTCTCAAAAGAGCAGACTAGGGAGCTTGCATCCTCGTAGCAGGAATCTGTGGCACCAGCTCCATGGGACAATCTGGACAAACTGGGGCCACTGCAGCGATCTTGTGAGCTAAGCCTTCACCTGCGGCACCAGGTTTCCACATAGCCGCTGGTTCAGGTCCAGGCTGTTCCACTTCTCAATCCAGCCCCCTGCTTATGGCCTCAGAAAACAGGAATGCTGGCCCAAGGCCTTGGGCCCCTGCCCGCGTGGAGTCCCAGAAGCTCCTGGTTCCCAGTTCCAGATTGGCTCAGTCCTGGCCACTGCAGTCATTTGGGGAATGAGCCAGTGGAAGGAAGATCTCTCTTCTTCTTTCCCTCTCTCTATAACTGACTTTCAAGCAAAAGAAAGAAGAATATATATATGTCTATATATATAGTATATATGTATATATATATACACACACTATATAAATATATAGATATATACCTAATACAAACATCACCTGTGTGCGTGATGTCACATCAGCCCTTTGGATTCTGAATGGAGAAAGCACTCTGTCTGCAGCACGTAACTGATTCTAGCTGGAAGTTTCTGCTAGCTATCCAAATTTATTTAGAGAGAGATCTTCCATTTTTCCTCCAAAACAATAATAATACAAGCAACTTAGATTCACTGCAAGCAATTAACATGCATAATCTCACTAGTAAATATACAACAACCTTAAGAGGTAGGTACTATTAATCGGTTTAATGTTATAAATAAGAAACCCGAGAATTAGTGAGTTACTTAACTGTTATTTGCTTAGCACATATCACTTTGAATGACAGAGCCAACAATCAAAGTCAAGTCACCAAAAGCCTCGCTGTAAAATCCCTGAGAAAATTAACTGCTGCTCTGATGGGAGTAACAAAAATGAAGCTAGAATATAACTTTGCTACTTTCTTTACTACAGGAAACCAAAATTCAATAGGCCAGAAAAGAAAAATCTGTGTTGGATCCCATCCGCCCCCCAGTGCCCGCCTAGGGTATAGCAGGCAGGGCTGGCTGGTGGACAGCCAGAGAGGCGGGCTCCAAGTAGGCTGTGTCTTTAACTGCCGCAGCTCCTTGTCAAGCTCTGGAGAGTTAAACATGCTGAAGCTAAAGGGGACCGGACTCTTGTGATGAAATTAAAATGAGAATCAGAAATAATCAAGAAGAAGGATTGTGAAAGAATGCATGCCATCTAGGAGCAGAAAATAGAAAGCCTGGAAGCTTCTACGAAGAAAGAAGAAAGTTGGTTCCTCTTGGACTAACAGGCAGTGAAGGATACTAAGGGTGGGAGGTATGGGAGCACGTCAAAAAACTCACCAAAAAAAAAATGAAAATCAAAGTTTATTTTGGTAGAAAATGTTGAAATCCAAGCAGTTTTTCCACAACAGGAAGTTTCCATGGACTGGTTGAAGACCTCACACATGTCAGCCAAACCAAGCTTCGTGCAGTTCCTTGAGCTCTAACCTCCAAACTCCGGCCACAGTGTCCCCAGCCTCTGCCTGGAACACCTGTCCCTGTCACCCCTGTCAGGCTGATCCGGGTCATCCTTACTGCCTCAAGTTGTCAGCGCTGTTCAAGACTGGCTGTGGTGAGCAGAGGCCCTGGCGTTGGAGAACATTCTGGAGAGGGACCAGACAGCAGCAGCTGTGGTATGCGAGATCTACTTACTATCTCTGAAGCCAGTCCTCTGCTTCCAGGGCACATCTCGACAGAGCTGTTCCAGCATGCAGTCAGCTTCTTTCCAGTCAACAAAGCCAGGATACAAACGCACCCTGACACAGAAAGAACCATTATTAATGACAGGAAAGAAAAAGGGTGGGGCAAAGTCTAACTGTTAGTGGAATAAATTCATCTGGACACTACCTTTAGTAGGTAAGCAAAATCATCTTTTTTAGTTTTTATTATGGGAAAGGCAGACACACAGAGAAGGAGAGAAAGACAGGAAGATCCTCAGTCTGATGATTCATTCCTCAAGTGGCCACAACAGCCGGAGCCGAACTGAAACCAGGAGCCACAAGCTTCCTTCAGGTCTCCGTGCAGGTGCAGGATCCCAAGGCTTTGGGCTGTCCTCAACTGCTTTCCCAGGGCACAATCAGGGAAACTGGACGGGAAGCAGGGCTGCCAGGATATGAACCAGTGCCCATATGGGACCCCGGCGCATTCAAGGTGAGGACTTTAGCCACTAGGCTATTGCTCCAGGCCCAGTAAGTAAAACTATCTTACCACTTCCCAGACCAACAGGTACAAAACAGACTCCTTTCACACTAAGGCAAAAAAAGAGGAAAGGAAGGTGGAAGGGAGTGCAGATGCAACGGGCTTTTGTAGGCTTTGTTGCAAACACCACAACATGGCTGAGCTGTGCAACTTTGGTGATCTTTCTGAATTTGGGTTTTTGCATCTGTAACCTGAAGATTGTATCTACTGCTCAAGGTCACCTCCAGGGTTCAGTGGAATAACCAAAAACACTCCTGGCTCTGTGCTATTCTAACAACGTGTGGGGAACACACATAGTCCAGCAGTTAAAAGGCCCAGGGTCCACACTGCAGCACCTCAGCTCAATTTCTGATTCTAACACTTGACTCCAGTTTTCAGCTTATATGGAATCGGGGGAAAGGGGGTACAGGAGAGGGGGGCAGCAGTGATGGTTCAAGCAACTGAGTGCCTGCTACACACATGAATGACATGGACTGCCAACTCCGACCTTCGGCTCTGACCCAGCCTTACCCACCGTGAGCATTAAGGGAGTGAACTAGCTGATGGGAGCTCGCTCTGTGTGTGCGTGTGTGCATGCATGTGTGTGTGTATCTGCCTCTCTTTATCTTCTATTCAAATAAATCAAAAGTTAAAACACAACAAATGATTTGATAGTGTTGTAAGTCAGAGCCATTCCTAGGAAAAGCTGGAAGTCATCACGCCTGTGTCAAAGCAAACGCAGAAATGGAGTTCTTTCTCTCACTGAACACGCTGTTTGCAACAATGCCAGGTCAGCTCAGGATTGTTTTGGAAGCCTTTCGCCAGAAATACTTGGAAAGCCCGTGGAACTCTCTCTCCCACAGCCTCAGTGCTGGCAGCTCTGAAGGTGTACTTTTTTTACAAGAGCCATTGCTCATTTGATGATACATATGATTAATAATCAGATGTAGGCCCGGCGGCGTGGCCTAGCAGCTAAAGTCCTCACCTTGAACACGCCGGGATCCCATATGGGCGCCGGTTCTAATCCCGGCAGCTCCACTTCCCATCCAGCTCCCTGCTTGTGGCCTGGGAAAGCAGTTGAGGATGGCCCAAAGCCTTGGGACCCTGCACGCATGTGGGAGACCCGGAAGAGGTTCCTGGCTCCCGGCTTAGGATCCGTGCAGCACCGGCAGTTTTGGTCACTTGGGGAGTGAATCATTGGAAGGAAGATCTTCCTCTCTGTCTCTTCTCTCTGTATATCTGACTTTGTAATAAAAATAAATAAATCTTTAAAAACATAACAATCAGATGTGATCAAAATAGTACAGTTGATTTTCTCATGTCATTGTTAAACCCAAAACTGACTATCACAACAGCAGTGCCAACAAATCGTACAGCCTTCCAAGCCTAGCAGAAGCCCTTGCTTAGAGCTGATATCAACGCATAGCAAGTAACCTCCCAACCTGTGACACCAGCATCCCAATAGAGTACCAGTTAGTGTCCCTGCTGTTCCATTTTCAATCCACCTTCCTGCTACTTGCCTGGAAAAAGCAGTGGAATGTGGCCAAACACCTGCATGGTGGACCTTGAAGCTCCTGGCTTCGATCCGGCTAAGCACTGGCTACTGCAGTCATCTGGGAAGTGAACCAGCAGATAAAACATTGTCATTGTCTCTCTATCTATATATATAAAACTTTGTTTGTCAAATAAATACATCTTTTTTAGAAAGCCCTTTACAAGTGCTTTATTCAGATGTGTCTGTTCTAGCATATTTGTTTTAAATGTTTCATCATTTTATAATGAGAATTACTATATTCATGCACTAGCTGATGTTTTCAAAATTACAAATAATGAATATGCATTAAATAATATATTCTTTTTTAAAGACTTATTTATTTTTATTGGAAAGATTTATGGAGAGGAAAGATAGAAAGATCTTTCATCTGCTGGTTCACTCCCCAAATGGCTGCAAGGGCTGAAACTGAGCCAATCTGAAGTCAAGAGCCAGGAGCTTCTTCTGGGTCTCCCATGTGTGTAGGGGGTCCCAAGGTTTTGGGTCATCCTCTACTGCTTCCCCAGGCCACAAGCAGGGAGCTGGATGGGAAGTGGAACAACCAGGACATAAACTGGCATTCATATATGGGACACTGGCACTTGCAAGGTGAGGATTTAGCCATTGAGCCATCATATCAAGCCCAATTCTTTAACTTTATTGAAATTCACCCTTAGGCAGCAATGTTACATAACGTTATATATGATACTATATTTAATGTAGTAGTAGAGCATCTGTAGCATAGAAGTTGAGGTCCAACCAAACTCTGATGTTAATCTGTGTTAACATCAAGAAAAAGTCTTCAATCTCCCTGTCCCATTTCCTCATCTGAAAAACTGGGGTAGAAATAGTTACTATATCTGACAAACAGGTTATGAAAATATTCCTTTTAAAAATGTTATTCATTTTCATTTGATTTGAAAGGCAGGGAGACAGGCAGATTTTCTACTTGCTGATTCACTCAGGATTCTGCCAGACCAAAGCCACGAGGAAGGAACTCCATCCAGATCTAGGTCATGGGTGGCAGGGACCCACATCCCTGAGCCATCACTTGCTCTTCACCCCAAGGTGTGTATTGGCAGGAAGCTATGTCCAAAGTGGGGGAGCTGCTGGGACTTGCACTCCAATAGGAGATGTGGGTGTTCCAAGAGGACTGGGAAATGTTTCTAAGGTAGAAACACAACATGAAAAGGAGAGATTCTTGTTCTCCATGAAATTAATGGACAGGAGTTATATACTTCAAGTAAGTGAGTAGATTAATACAAGGAATTATAACTGGGGAGATAATAGCAGTCACTTTCTAGTGAGAATTCACTTACGTAGATACTCCAGTGGGTGACAGGCTGATCTCATAAACACCCTCCCTGCTAAAGGAACAAAGGAAACACTTGTTAGCAGGACAAGCAGGAGGCAAAACAATATGTCCCACCCTGCTGAGGTCCCAAAGTCCTCGGGATGCACAACCTTAACCTTGTTCTCCCACTGAGATGAGAGACAAGATGGCACCATCCATCCACGGCAATGGAACAGAACCCAGAGAGGAGCAGAAACATCGAGGCAAAGAATGGGATTAAGAAAATCACAATTCTGTTTACATTTCACGCAGAATTTAGGTTGATATAGTCCAGGAATGTGTCTCACAAAGGGGTGCTGAAAAAAGATCCAGGGATAGGGGGTGCCTGTAAGTGCTCTGAGCACTTGCTGCTCTCAAGGACACCCGTCAACTTCCTCCTCTGATGCAAACCCACAGTTCCCTGTAATCGCAGTCAAGCTTGCTGTAACCCAGCCCTCTCCTCTAACTGCTCCCGTGGATTCATCATCCTCTAACACATCACAACCAACCCCTGAAAACACCACTGTGTCTCTAACTCCATAACCTTCTACCTGCAAGAATGTCTTCCCACCCCGGTACTCCCAACCAGCTCCACCCAGTGAATGGATTTGCTCTGGTGGAAAATTCTAATTCACCTTCCAGAAATCTGAACTCATCATCACTTAACTTATCCTAACTTACTCCTGTCATCCGACACCTTACTTGAAGGCTACTGTGTCCTGACGCGTAAGGCCGTGGCCTGTTTACATGTCAACCTCATTATAGACACTGGGTACCCTGAGGGCAGGACGGTCTCCTACTGCTTCCCAGTGCCTGCCAAGAGGCGCTAGCCTTCTGAATCTAATCAAACACAGAAGCACAGAGATCCGGTGCACAGGTGCAGGGTGGGGAGGGTCACGTGAAGAGACGATCAGACTGGAGCTGTGTGTTGGCTCAGTACCCTCTCAGAGGCATTTTATTGAGCCTAGCTACACAGGAACAGCTGTGATGTCACCCTTTGTCACAGGCCTGAGTACTTCTCTTTGAGCTGAGGCTCTGAGGGCGATCTTCAAACCCCTTTTTACACATACAATACTTGGCACACTCCTATAAGTTATGCACAACAGGGACAGGGATCCAATATTTCAACGTGATCTATCTGGGACATACAGAAATGGGCTTGTTTTAAATTAGAACACATTTCTGGCTATTAAAAAACAGCAAAATGAAAAAACAAACAAAAAACCAGCAGACTTTCAATAATAACAATAATGAACAATGTCTAGGGTCAAATTGAAATGGTTTCTGTCAATTTCCTCTAACTTGCGAATTCACAGCTACCCTGCTTTTTTGGACCAAATATCCAATCTGTATTTAGTAACAAGGTTCTTAGCCTTTACAAATTTCCTGTATTACCAGTGAAGGCAACACCATACTGTTATTTTTGATATAATCAAAGACTATTAGAGCCAAACTGAACCTTCAGAGATTACATGGTTCACACTCTTAACTTTAAAGATAGCCCTGAAGTTCAGAGAGATGGACAGACACCATAAAGAGTAGTTGCATATCTAGCCAGCAACATTTGAGTTATTTTCAAATTTCCTTAGTCATACAGATCAACAGTCAAGAACAGTTCACTCCTGGGTGAACATACACCTTATGCATATTTGCTAAAAAATAAGAGGATAGTTTTTACTGACAATTGATCTCTTTTAGGTGGAAACTGAGAAGCAGGAAGAGCCAAAGCTTTCCCATCAACTGTGGGCCAGAACATTTTAGGCACTAATCGACATAATGGCTTTTAGTATCATTTACATTGCAATCACTCGGCTTTAATAAGTGGACTATCAGGCCACTGACATTGCCAGGGGCCGGGATAAGCATTGCCTGTAAAATGCAACTCAGAGATTTCTTGAAGAGTTCAATGATGCAGGGGTAATAATCTTTATTGACCTATGTGATGCTCCAGCCTACTGTCTGCAAGTATCAGGGACACAAGGCCAGGGAGCCGACCCTGAGTCGCTTTCAGGTGTGGGCATCTTGTTGCATTTTCTATCCCATCAGGCAAATTCAAAGTCTTATCAAAGACATCTGAGACAGGAATATCCCAGGCTGCAATTAGGACACTTAGTGGGCCATTCTTTTCCAGCTGGAAAAGCCAGAGTGAGGGGTAATCCTGGCCTCCGTGTGTCATGACAGGCAACAATGAGGCAAGTCACTTACTCAATCACTCGCGGCTCCGGAGCGCGTCGTGCCACCTGCAAGGAGACAGCTGATTTACGTCTAGGACGTGACCGACTGCCAGCTTGTCAACGGTCCCCTGTTATTCCAACCCCTTTCTACCCCGGCACGGGTGCTTGCTTCCATTCCTACAACTGCTTCACACTTGCCAGCAGATAGGAAGAGGATACAATCAGATTTTATCAGTCTTCCTGTTGTCCAGACAGGAAGTCTGGAGAAACCTTTCCAGAAAACAGATTAAAAAAAAAACACATCATGGATACTAAGTTCTTCTGACAATCGCAACATGATATAAGCAAGGCACATCGTTTTCTTTAAAAGAAGTTTGTGAAAGGTAGAGTTACAGATACAGGGAGGGAGAGTAAAGAGAGAGTCTTCCACCCTCTTCCATCCACTGGCTTACTCCCTTGAAGGCCACAATCGCTGGGGATGAACCAGGCCAAAAATAGAAGTTAGAAACTCCATCTGGGTCTCCCACACTTAGGCCGTCTTGTGCTGCTTTTCCCAGCACATTCATAGAAAGCTGGGTTGGAAGTAGAGCAGCCAGGACTGAGGACCGGAGCCCATATGCGATGCTCACACACACACAGGCAACAGCTTAACCCACTGAGCCACACACTGGCCTCCAGATGCCTGACTTTTTATAACCCTTTTTTCTCATATTATTAAAAAGTGAATCTTTGGCATTTTTTTACATCTTTTTCCATGGAGAAAAGAGCAAAGCATCAGGTATTTTTCCAAAATAACTGAAATTTCAATCCAATTTCAAAAATATTTGCAGCATTACCACTGACTAAAAGATGATTTTAGGATCATCAAAACTAAAACCTGCCTCGGTTAATGCAAGGTCTGGTCATGCTGTAATCTCTACCTTCCAGGTACTGTAGAGCCTCCACACACCCCCATTACCACCAAACATAAACGGGGAGAAGACACAGGGACTCCTCAAATACAGTAATGAATTGAAATACTTCCTATTCATTAGTAGCACAGTCCTTCTGCTCTGTTATTCACTAGTGGATTTATCCAGTCACTATTTCATTGTACTTTGAATATATCTTTATTGTTAAATAAAATACCATATGTGTAATTGGATATTGTGAGAGATTATAGGTAACTTTAAAGACTTCATTTTGAGCTGAAAGAATCAGAGTGAGAAGGTGAGACAGATTCAAAGGCAAATCTTTGTAAGAGTTACAGGGTAAAATCGGACTTACCAGCTGGGGTTCTTCAAACACAAACTCTCTTAGAGAGCCAGAGAGATGATGCTCCTTGCTCCTCCAGGTCTGAGCAGGTGTTTGGCGGAGATGGCTTGTGGGAGTGGTAGCTGAAAGAAAACAGCAAGCAGCCTCAATATGCAGAAAGTCACCCACTGAGCAAGGGCCAGGAACATTCACACGGACTTGAGTGACCTCGGCAGAGGGTGAAGTCAGCAGACCAAAGATGGGGAACCCCACCGTTAGCTTACCACCAACCAAATCAGACAACAGGCCAGCCACATTTGAAACAATTCCTGAGCATCAACTGAAATAATGAGCAGAATAAACCAAAGTGTATAAAGCAAAGAGGAGACAGCAGCTGTCCCTCCCAGCAGCCCGGACGGCATCCCCACGGGCTCTTGCCTGGCTGGGCAACACCATGGCTTCTTGAAGGAGCAGCCCAGGCTCCCTGGACTCGGGCTCGGCGTCTTTTGTCTTCCATGTTAACCAAAACGTAGTGGGCTCTGAGCTCTCCGAAGATCTCATTCCTGATTTAAACCACACGGTGGAATCTGCTTCTCTTTTAAGAAAGAAAGAAAGATGCACTTAGTCAGGGTTCTAAGAGCTCGATCTCCTAAGACAGCAGCTGTAATCCCTTTACCAACACTCTTACATAAAATCAATTTTGTTAACACAACATCACAATCAAGTAGCCTATTAAGTTACCTGGGACAGCTGGTAATCTTCCATAACCTTATCACCATACCACCTGCCCCAAAAAGTATTGGTTGAGAAATTCTCAAGTCCTCCAGAACCTGTCCTAAATCTCATTACTTATACTAGTTCCCAAGAGCAGAACACAAGGAACCTTCACCGACGGGGACTTCAGATCTCAAGTGCACATCCACATTCAGGCTGCAACAGACTGCCCTGACACTTGCGGGAGGCAGCCTTGGTGAAGGGACCTGAAGGACATCAAGGTAAGTGAAAGAAGCCAGGGGCAGCCAAATCCTGCATGATCTCACTTTTATGTGGAATCTGCAAAAGTCAAACTCAGACATAGAGCGTAGGAGGCGTTTACCACGGGCTGGGCTAGCTAAGTGGTACAAAACCTGGACTCTACAAAAGGCTTTAAGCTTGAGTGAACAGAATGGTGACGATAAGAACAGCATAGCGCATATTTCACCACTGCTACACTAGATTTCAAAATGTTTTCCCCATACACCAAAAAAAAAAAAAAAAGAGGTGATGATCTCTTCAATCATTCCACAATGTATATACATATCAAAACATTACACAATAGCTCACACATATGCTCAACTATAGTTAATCCAGAAGAAACTTTTAAATAAACTAAAATTTGGGGCTGTCATTGTGGAGCCACGGGCTTAGCCACCACTTGCAGTGCTGGCATTCCACAGGAGCCCCACTTTGAATCCAGCTCCCTGCCAAGGTGCCAGATGGAGTTCCTGGCTTCAGAGTGGTCCAACCCCGCCTGCTGCCATCACCTGGAATTGGAAGAATTCTCTAGGTCTCTCCCTCACTTTTTTCTGCCTTTCAAATCAATACATCTTTTTACCAAATAAATTCAAACATAAAAAACCTATCTTCTACCAGAAGAAAATGTAACTTAGGATAAACTGAGACAGTTGTATAGGACATGGCAATACGCTGTGTCTATATGCAGATGACCAAGCACAGTGAGCTACCCACACAGGAAAGCAACAGTAGACAATTTGCATTCGAATTTTATTAAGCCCTAGTCTTAAGTGAAAAATCCACCTCATAATTTCCAGTAATCCTAAATTGACTTTTTTTTTTTTTGAGAAAGATCTGTCCACAACAAATACAGGTTCCAGATAAGGACATTCAAGTTCCAAGTTTCGGGGCCCAGCGCGGTGGCGCAAGTGGTTAAAGGTCCTCGCCTTGCACGCCCGGGATCCCATATGGGCGCCGGTTCTAATCCCAGCAGAGCTCCCTGCCTGTGGCCTGGGAAAGCAGTCGAGGACAGCCCAAAGCTTTGGAACCTGCACCCTGGGAGACCCGGAAGAGGCTCCTGGCTTCGGATCGGCATAGTATCGGCCCGTTGCGCTCACTTGGGGAGTGAATCATCGGATGGAAGATCTTCCTCTCTGTCTCTCCTCTCTGTATATCCGCCTTTCCAATGAAAAAATTTTAAAAATAAATCTTTAAAAAAAAAAAAGTTCCAAGTTTCAAATCTTTGATCCACTGGATTCGGGATCTAAGAAACCTTCACATCTCAAACTCCCAGAGATCAGGTTCGTTTCACAGCTTGCTTAGCCTACTGGTCCCGAGGTCCTAGTCCTGGACCCACTAGAGATCCGAGAGGGGCCGATCTAGGAATCTGTTTTCACAAATCCCCTTCGGTGATCTGAACGCTCATTTCACAGGCAGGGAGGTGAGAGAGTTCAGGACACATCTATCAGTTCTCCACTTCCAGTGGGGCAGCCCTACTGACATCTGATGTGAACGAAGGTATTAAAAAATGAACACGGGACCCGGCGCGGTAGCCTAGCGGCTCAAGTCCTCGCCTTGAACACGCAGGGATTCCATATGGGCGCCGATTTTAAACCCAACAGCCTTGCTTCCCATCCGGCTCCCTGCCTGTGGTCTGGGAAAGCAGTCGAGGACGGCCCAAAGTCTTGGGACCCTGCACCCGTGTGGGAGACCCGGAAGAGTTCCTGGCTCCTGGCTTCGACTAAGCTCCAGCCATTGCGGTCATTTGGGGAGTGAACCATCAGACGGAGGATATTTCTGTCTCTCCTCCTCTCTCTATATGTCTAACTGTGCAATAAAAATACATTTTTTTTTTAAAGTGAACACAACAATTCGCTGCAGTCCCCCGGGGAGGGCTGTACCCTGCTCCGCATTTCGGCCAGGGGACAAGTGGCAAGCAGACGTCCGGCAGCGCCCCAGGCCCACTGGGTTTGGGGAATCCCAGCAGCTGTTCCCCGAGGGACGCCACCCTCACCCCGGGGTTCCTGACCCAGGCAACCCTCGAAGCGCCCGCAGCTGCCGCAGAACCAGCATCCCGGAGCCGGCCAGGCGCTGGGCACCAGGACCCGAGGCTCCCCAACTGCCAGGCCGGCTCCTCCCGAGCCCTCCTTCCCTGGAGGACCAGGGGCTCCGGGGCGCAGCTGACCGGGTCTGGTCCTGGAGAAGCCTCGGCGTCTTCCCAGGACACCCAGGACGGGACCTCGGGGGCGCACCTGCGGGCACAGCCGGGCGAGCAGGTCCAACCCGCTCGGTCCCCGCGCCCTAAGGGTCGCCCCGCCGCCGCCAGGCAGCCCACAAACACTCCACAACAAGCGCCGACTTCCACAACTCCCCACCGGAAGATGCGCTGCCGCTTACGACCGCCCGGTACCACCGCTTCCGGTGCACTGCTTTCGAGTCCGGGCAGCTCATCCTGTAACCCCGCACCGATAGGGCCTAGTCGCTGCAACTGCGGACCAAGTGGAGACCAAGAGTGAAGGCCAGTGCGGAGCGTGTGGTTAGGGCTTGAATGCAGATGTGTCTCCTGGATTGAGATCTTCAGAATGTGAGCTCTCGGAAACTGCAGACTTGTTTTTTATTCAGACATCCTGGAACAGCCCAAGATGCACCCTTGTGTTGCTATGGCAAGCCTGTGCATACCTCAATCACAGCTCAAACAACAGGACACGGGACCACGCCTCTTTGATCTCAGGACTAAGCAAATTCTGCTTGAGTAAACACACCTAAATTGTGGTCCCCACACCACGTTTTACTTAAGTGTAAAATCTGCAGCAGGTACTCCTTTGAAGAATGGGCTAGGCACCTGTTGGAAGGATGAAGTGGGATAATGTATGCAAAGAATTCAGCCAAATGACCAGAACATGATAGACAATTAACGTTAAGAGTGTTAATAATGTCTTCTGGGACCCGTTCTGTGGTACATGTGGGCTCCTGGTCAAGTTGTGGCTGCTCCTTGCCCAATCCAGCATCCTGCTAATGTGCCTGGGAAAGCAGCAGGGGACAACTGAGGTGCCTGAGCCCCTGCACCCACATAGCAGACCTAAAGGAAGCTTCTGCCTCCTTGCTTTGGTCTTTCGCAGCCCTGGCTGATGGGGACCTTTGGGGAGTGAATCAGCAGACAGAGGATTTTTCTCTCTGTGTGTGTCTGTAACTTAGACCTTCAAGTAAAAAAAAAAAAAAAAAGAAAAGAAAAACCACAAAGTTAAAAAAAAATAAGTGTGATACTATTACGCAGAGCTCAACTATGCCCTTCTAATGCACCTCTGTTATTGCTACTGCTAAATCCATATCATGGGGTGGGAGTGTGATCCAGTGGCTGAGTCACAGTTTGGGATACCGATATCCTACCTAATGCCTGTGTTTCCGTCCACCTCTGCTTCCCATCTGGCTTCTTGCTCGCATGGACTTGGGGAGGCAGAAGTGCTACTTCTTTTGTGTTCTGCCTCGCTTTGCAGATGAGTAGTGGCTGTTCCCTGCATTTATAAAACATCATTGTTTCCAGAGTTCCCTGAAAGTCATCCTATATTATGGGTAATCATTCTTTGGCTTGTTTTTCCTGGCCCACATTCTAGGAAGCTTCTGAGTGCCACTGGAGGCCAGACTGGAGTAGGACCGTGGTAGCTAGAGTTGAGGACAAAGGCTGACAGTTCGCATTCAGACCCACTCATGTGTTGCTTCCTCTTCTGTTTCCTCCGCTGAGACTGCCCCCTGTGGGAGATTTCATTGGTGGTCTTGCCTCTCCTTGGAAACAAGCAGTTCTCAGCATGAAGGTGCATGCTTCATAAGGCCTCCTTTCACTTTCCAGGTGCTCCAGCACTCTCAATATGATGGCACTTCAAGGAGCCCAGCATGGTGGCTCAAGGATTTAATCCTCTGCCAGCAAATGCTAGCATCCTGTAGAGATGTCAGCTTGTGTCCTGGCTGCTCCACTTTCCACTCATTTCCCTTCTTGTGGCCTGGGAAAGCAGCAGAGGATGACCCAAAGCCTTGGGTCCCTGCACCTGCATGGGAGACCCAGAGGAAGCTCCTGGCCTTGGATCAGCTCAGCTCCAGTAGTGGGGCCATCTGGGGAGTGAACCAGTGGATGGAAGAGCCTTCTCTCTGCAAATCTGTCTTTCCAATAAAAATAAATAGTCTTTAAAAAATATAACATTTATTTTTGGTACAAAGGGAAAAGCAAGGTTGTGATCCATGCCACTTGAAAATCACACACATCTTCCATGAGCTGTTTTCCACCAGTGACGTTCCACTCCACAGTGATTTTTTTGCCTTTATGGTGAAACTGACAGATGCTTTCAGGCCCGGAGCTTCCAGAAATGACTCCAAGGGAGCACTGTGCTGCTTTCTGATGCCCATTTTCACAGCACATTTCTTGCCAAACAGCCCGTTTCTATCCCATTCTCTGTGCGGCACGTCTGCTGCTGCTGTATTCCTGAGAAAATCCAATCCAAGGAAAATGATGGTACATCATGCGAAACGCTTCCAGTGAAGCTGTTGCCTAGAGAAAATCCGAGTCCAGTTTCACTGCCAAAGATGCAGGCATTCCCATGTGGAGGGAACCTGTACTCTGTAGTGTGTTGGCTATGAACCTTGCAGGCCTTTACCAAGACCAGACATGTTGGCAAGCAGAGGGCATTCTCTCAAACTCCAGACAGAAATTCCTCTGGTTCAACGCCCAGTATAATTGTAGATGCTGCAGGAGGTAAAAATCTTTTCCCAGTGAGCCCCCAGGTAGATTGTGTGAGACATCATTAAAGAACAGAAGCATTGGATGTGAAATTGTGATGAGCAGACAAAAATCTGGGCACCAGGAGAGATTATGAAAGGTTGTGTTTCTCAGGGAAGAATTTGTTGACAACAGGGAGTAAGGTCAACATTGTAAGGCGTGTAGTGCTTAGGTGGCTCAGAGATATTCTGAGACCTACATTTTCTAACCTGTATACAACACGTATACTTCTTGTTTCTGAATGGAAGCAAATACTTGCATTGGTTAGCATTTATTGAGAGCTCCTTTCAAGTACTAATTTAGCTATTTTTATTTGAAAGGTAGATTTACTGAGAGAAGGATAGACTGAGAGATCTTCCATTCACTGTTTTATTCCTCAAACAGAGGCAACAGTTGGAGCTGGGCTGCTCTGAAAACGGGAGTCTGGAGCTTCTTTTGGGTCTCGCAAGTGGGTGCAGGGGATCTAGGAGCTGGACCATCTTCCACTGCTTTCCCAGGCCATTAGTAGGGATCTGGATTGGGAAATGGAACGCCGAAGACTCGAACTGGCACCCATATGGGATGCTGTCCCTGCAGTCAGACACCTTAGCTACTAGGCATTGCACCAACCTCTCAAATAATTTTTCACTTGTATAAAATAAACACATTACAGTTGTCATATTCGCGATGAGATTCTGTCATGAGGAAACTTATCTATGTGGTCAACCTATGCTGAGTCCTACATTGCTGGGAGTACTGCTGATCTGAGTCAAGTTCAGCTGGCTGGTCTAGGCCAGCCTTGACTCCGTGTGACCTCTGTCTCTTTTTAAAAGCTTATTTAGGGCCCGGCGCGGTGGCTCAAGTGGTTAAGGTCCTCACCTTGCACGCCCAGGATCCCATATGGGCGCCGGTTCTAATCCCGGAGGCCCCGCTTCCCATCCAGCTCCCTGCCTGTGGCCTGGGAAAGCAGTCGAGGACGGCCCAAAGCTTTGGGACCCTGCACCCGTGTGGGAGACCCGGAAGAGGCTCCTGGCTTCAGATCGGCATAGCATCGGCCGTTGCGTTCACTTGGGGAGTGAATCATCGGACGGAAGATCTTCCTCTCTGTCTCTCCTCTCTGTATATCTGCCTTTCCAATAAAAAAATAATAAAATAAATCTTTTTAAAAAAAAAGGTTATTTATTTTTTACTTAGAAGGTAGAGTTTCACAGGAAAAAGGATAAGAAGAGAGGAAGAGAAGAAGGGAGAGGGGAAGAGAGAAAGAGAAAGAAATGGCTTACTCCTCAAATGTCCCCAATGGCTGAGACTGGACCTAGGCCAAAGCAGGATCCAGGAACTCCATCCTGGTCTTCCTCATGGGCAGCAGGAGCCCATGTCCTTGAGGCAACTTCTGCCACATTCCCACGCACATATAGCAGTGAGCTGGATTGGAAGTAGAACAGCCAGGACTTGTACTGGCGCTCATATAAGATGCTGGTGTCACAAGCAGCAGCTTAACCCATTGAACCACAACACCAGTCTCTTCATGTGGTCTTGTCTTTGAACATGCCTGCCAGGCATGTTCTAGTAGTGGTAGCACAGAGAAGGTACTAGAAGAGGAGGCTGCGCAGACAAACACGCAAGAACTCCTAAAGTCAAGGTGGAGAAGTACAAAATCATTTATATTTCACTTAGTGTTCAAAGTAGCAAACTTGTTTGCTTTTTGAGAGAGGGAGGGAAGTTGAGAAAAAGAGAGCATGTGTGCTCACACCTGCTGGTTCACCGCCCAAATGCCTACAATGGCCTGACCTGGACAGGACTGGGCCCGTCCAGGAGCTAGGAAGCCTGCCATGTGAGTGGCGGGAGCGCAGTCGGTGGAACACCACTACTGCCTCTGAGGGAGTATATAGACAGGAAGCCAAAATCAGCAGCTGCAGCTAGGAACTGAACCCAGGCACTCCCATACAGTACGTGGGGATCTAGGTCAAATACCTTCCCCAAAACTACTTCTTTTTTTTTTTTTTAAGATTTATTTTTATTATTTTTTCATTGGAAAGGCGGATATACAGAGAGGAGAGACAGAGAGGAAGATCTTCCGTCCGATGATTCACTCCCCAAGTGAGTGCAACGGGCCGATACTATGCCGATCCGAAGCCAGGAGCCTCTTCCGGGTCTCCCACGCGGGTGCAGGGTCCCAAAGCTTTGGGCCGTCCTCGACTGCTTTCCCAGGCCACAGGCAGGGAGCTGGAAGGGAAGCGGGGCTGCCAGGATTAGAACCGGTGCCCATATGGTATCCCGGGCGTGCAAGGCGAGGACCTTTAACCACTTGCGCCACCGCGCCGGGCCCCCCAAAACTACTTCTTACATGCAGCTGTTGCAAAGAGTGGAGTACTGAAGCCATTTTTTTTTTTCAATCTCTTAAGCTAAGTGAGAAAGTGTAGGGAGATGACACAGAAAGGAAATGGATCACATAGGCCTGCAAAGCTTAATAAACATTAGATGTTCATTTGCACACAGTTTAAAGCATGCAATAGACATTAAACACTCATTCTCCCTTCCTCCCCTTATTTTCCATCTCACAGAATGATGCTCCTTTGAAACTACTGTCAAGTATGTACCTAAGGCAGGGAATGTTTCCTCATGTGGTTGGAATGCCTTTCAGCAAGCATTTAATAACAGGTTATTATGAATTAAATCACAGTGCACCCACAATTACTAAGTTAAGGGCTAGTGGGTCATTTCCCTCTGTGCTACCTAAGTGGACTCTTCACTCTTTGTAGGCTTTTTCTGGGTCTCCCATGTGGGTGCAGAGTCCCGATGACTAGGGCCATCTCTTGCAGCTTTCCTGGGCACATCAGCAAAGAGACGGATGGGAAGCAGAGCACCCAGGACTCAAGGTGGAGCTCACTTGGTATGTCTGCATTGCAGGCAGAGGCTTAAGATACTCTGCTACAGCACCGGCCTCTAAATGAAATGTTAAAAGTTAGCTTCATGTAAGGAACTGGAGGCCAACAATCTCATCTTCAGCCGGCACTGATTCCACACGCACGTGGGAAGGCAGAGGGGAATCAGAATGGTAAGAAGCAGGTGTGTCGGACAACTCCCCCTACATGCCTAAGGGGGAACATTTTATTCCTCCATGCAAAAGGACAATGAAAAGAACACATTAGGGCCCGGCGCTGTGGCCTAACGGCTAAAGTCCTCACCTTGAACGCGCCAGGATCCCATATGGGTGCCTGTTCTAATCCAGGCAGCTCCACTTCCCATCCAGCTCCCTGCTTGTGGCCTGGGAAAGCAGTCAAGGACGGCCCAAAGCCTTGGGACCCTGCACTTTTGTGTAGGAGACTCCGAAGAAGTTCCTGGCTCCTGGCTTCGGATTGGCGCAGCACCGGCCATTGCGCTCACTTGGGGAGTGAATTATCAGATGGAAGATCTTCCTCTCTGTATATCTAACTTTGTAATGAAAATAAAATAAATCTTAGAAAAAAAAAAGAGCAATACATTAAAATAAAGCTTTTTACCTCGTAAGAAAAGATAACTCTACTGATACAATTAACACTATAGTTCATTCTACTCTTTTTGGGTTCAAATCTTATCTAGCATATATCAGAACATAAAATCAAACCAACAAAAAGTGAAATTTAAAAAAAAATTTATTCATTTTAACTTTTTTTTTTTAAAGATTTATTTTTATTATTTTTTTATTGGAAAGGCGGATATACAGAGAGGAGAGACAGAGAGGAAGATCTTCTGTACGATGATTCACTCCCCAAGTGAGCGCAACGGTTGATACTTTGCCAATCTGAAGCCAGGAGCCTCTTCCGGGTCTCCCACGCGGGTGCAGGTTCCCAAAGCCTTGGGCCGTCCTCGACTGCTTTCCCAGGCCACAGGCAGGGAGCTGGAAGGGAAGCGGGGCTGCCGGGATTAGAACCGGCGCCCATATGGGATCCCGGGCGTGCAAGGTGAGGACTTTAACCACTTGCGCCACTGCGCCAGGCCCCCATTTCAACTTTTTAAATTGGAAAGTCATATATAAGGGAGAAGGAGAAACAGAGAGGAAGATCTTCTGTTCTGTTGCAGTGGCCACAATGGCCAGAGCTAAGCCAATCTGAAGCCAGGAGCCAGAAGCTCTTCTGGGTCTCCCACATGGGTGCAGGGTCCTAAGGCTTTGAGCTGTGCTTGACTGCTTTCCCAGGACACAAGCAGAGAGCTGGATGGGAAGCGGGGCTGCTGGGACACGAACCGGCACCCATATGGGATCCTGGAACATTTAAGGCGAGGACTTCAGCTGCTATGCTACCACACTGGGAGCCCAAAAGTTACATTTCATAAATTAATATAAATCTTAACATTTGTTAAAATCCCTAAAGGAGCACTTCACTATTTTGATGGTTTGGAGTACAGTATTTTCTCTTTCAACACAATTTTAATTCCCCACGCCTTGAAAAATACATGTTCATGGCGTCATCTTCATTCCTGAGTGTCAAAGAGGGTGCTTGTCAGGTCGCAGCAGGCAAAGGCAGAGTACAGCACCTGTGAAATTGTGGAGGGATTTCCTAGCCACACTTATGATTTTTCTAAATGTGATAAAAATAAAAGTGCTTTGTGTATCTGGAAACTAATCTCTCCATGTCTATCAACTCTCTGCCAAAAACAACTACCACCGTAAACAACCAGCCAGCCAACCAACATGTGAGGACACGTAAGATACTGCCCAGGTCACTGCGGGCCAGCACTTCCACAGAGAAGCAGACAGGAAAGCCGGCGAGCAATGTGTTCTTTCATCGAGCTCTGTGTATTCAATTTAAACTCCTTGTTATTCTGAGACTATGATTTTTGTTTCTTTTGGGGTGCTAAAATCTTCATTTTATTTTACTTTATTTTTGTTGATTTATTTTTATTGGAAAGGCAGATTTACAGAGAGGAGTAACAGAGGCAAGATCTTGCATTCGCTGGTTCACTCCCCAGGTGGCTGTAATGGCCAGAGATGAGCTGACCTGAAGCCAGGAGCTTCTTTGGAGTCTCCCATGCGGGTGCAGGGCCCAAGGCTTTGGGCCGTCCTCGACTGCTATACCAGGCCACAAGCAGGGAGCTGGATGGGAAGTGGAGCAGCCGGGATTAGAATCAGCGCCCACATGGGATAACAGCTTGCAAGGTGAGGATTTAGCCACTGAGCCACTGCTCCAGGCCCTTTTTTTGTTTTAAACAGAATGATGCAGATAATTAGATGGCAAATTTCCCCCTATCTGTTATATCCTTAACTGGCAAAATTAACAGCTAGAAACAACCACCCTGACACACCTTTTTTCTTCAGTGTAATCTAGGAACCACCGCCTCAGCAAAGGCTGTTTTCCGTGGTCTGTGGCCTTTGGCCTCCCATTCTTTCTTGACGCCTTTTCCCATCGAGATTATGTGAGTGAGTAAAGGTCAGCTTTAACTCACATTAAACCCACGGAAATCCAGCATCAGAAAAGCAGACGTTCATTCAACGCCATGGTTACATCATCTTTTATTAAAACCAATTACATCAGTAACCTCTCGGGTACCAATTTAGAAAGTATACTATCATTTCCAGGGGCGTAATATCATTAGGAAAGTTAACTGTTGTTACACATGTGAGCAATATTGATATAGTACTGAAACACAGAAGGCTGGGGTGCAAGCAAGTCACTGCAGGGTCGGGGTGTCAGTGGCACCATAGGTAGCTGCCAGTCACAAGGTGTAATTTTGGCCCGTTTATCGCACAAACAGCTGATTTCTGGGATTTACATATACTTGAACTGAGAAAAAAAATAACAGGGATACTAAAAAGCACGCTTCAGTGGGCTCCAGGTGTCCAAAATAACTATATTTCCCAATTACATCTCTGGCACTTCTTTTGAGAAAGAGTAGTTTCATCTAAGCGCACAGACTGGAACCCACTCCTAGAAAATCTTCCATAGATCTATTTGAAGTTGTGGTGGGTCTGCCCATTATGGAACCAGCTAATCTCCATCCCCTCAAAGTGTTAAAGCCAAGCAAGAGCAGCCAGCCATCCCGTTTTACGGTAGGGCTCGGAGAAAACGCGAGAATGATGGCTTGTCAATGAGCTGCTTGGACCAGGTGACCTGCGTGGCCGGAGGCCTGCCTGGCAGCCCGTGGTTTGCTGTCGCTATGCTCTTTCCTGCTTAGCTGCTCTTGGCCATGTTAGTTCTTTATCCATTTGACACGAGCATTTACATCAAGCTTCAAATTTATTAGCATCCAGAATAGAAGTCAGGAGCTCCTCAGAGCAACTTTTGCTTTCCTCCCAAAGGAGGTTAAAATTTAGCCCAGTTAGTAACCACTGAAACAGCTGTGACATTTGCAGACTGGCCGGGGGCGCTGTGTAAGGACTGAGGTACCCGCTGCAGTCCCCTGTGCTCAGTTCTTCTTGTTTTTCTTCAGATAGCGAGCTCGCAGGGACTTGTGTATATTCATGGATATTTTTGCAAAAAGCCACGTAGGCAGCAGTGAGTGTATTGAGCCCTAGGGGGGGAGGAATGGAGGAAAAAATGTAATTAGAATCTACAGTTTAGGCTGAACTGGAGATTTTCAGTTTATTTCTTCTTACACATTTTTTTTTTAATTTACAAGTAGATTTTAATGTTCTTGTGAGTGTAATTTAGTTTTAAAATAGAAGACAGATGTCTTGCTAATATTGTACACATGCTAACATGATGGGACCTCAGAAAGTTCATGCAACACCAATTTTTTTTTTTTGTGCAAAAAATTTGAAACCCATGTAGAGCTGTTTCACAATAACTCAATTCCCACAGACTTTCTGAAGACCTGCTTTATAGCTTCTGCCATCTTGTGATTCACTGGGAAAGAAAACCCCAAGGGAGAGGCTACTGCTTAGGGACGTAAAGACCCACTCACCATCAGAGAATGGATCGGGTAGCCGTTCGTCCGAGCGTCTAAGCCGACTGTCTGGAGTGCAGCCTTCACAAATGTCTCTGGGGAGGGCTTGTCCAAAGTTGGTTTCCG